TAGTATGAGAGTATTGCATAGTTTAACTGTATGCCGTACATAGTCCAGTTGTATGAGCTTCATACTCTCTCGGTATGATAGCTATACAACTGACGATTAAGCCACGCCTTCTTTCAGCTTGCTCATTTCCTATCGAGAGAGTATCTTGTGAATTTGTTCCTGATCCCCGCATAATTTATTATTATAAATTTGTGAAAATATATTATTTGCTGAAGTGACAAATTAAAAAAATAAAGAAGTGTTTCCTGCTACATTTTTTTTAATGTAAGTATACAGAAATAATAAAAAAAAATTTTTTAAATTAAAAATTATTAAAAAATTATAAATTATTTTTTAAATTAAAAATTAAAAAAAATAAAAATATAAAATTACGGAAAAACTAAACTTTGACTGGGTGGATTACAACTAATCTGACGCTTGCCGGGTTAAAAAATTAAAAAAAAGTTTATTTAGTTAAAAAAAATTTTGTTTAATTAAATAACATTTCTTCAATATTTATTTTGTTCTTTGACATTAAACAAATTATATCAAATATAAATTTAAGAATCTATTTATCAAATAATTCTTTTACATTTATTAATAATTTTTTATAATTTCATAAATATTAATAACAATACATAACATATTCACCTTAACTTCATCTTTGAAATATAATAAAAAATTATTTAAATAAATCAAAACTGAGCAAAGAATTGAAAGCGGGCAGGTGATTCAGAAATATGCAAACTGAAAGTGGGCGTGGCTTAATAGTCTGTTCTATGAGTATCATACCGAGAGAGTATGAAGCTCATACAATCGTAGTATGTTTGTATTACATACGTTTGGCGTATGGACTTCTTACTGCGAAACTATGAATGTCATACAGTATTCGCATGAGAAAGTTTCATACATTAAACGTATGCCTCTTCATACTAAAAACGCATGGTTTTTCTCTCCGTGTAAATGTGAAAAAAGAAATTATTACCTGGGTCCTCAGAGTTAATCCTCATTAACAAAGGTTCTATTGTCCAATGGTTGGTTCTTTTGTGTTCCGGGGTTTTAATACAGGTATAAATACGTATATATGTTATTTATAATGAACTACTGATTACTCATATAAGAGTGTCCTTTTTGCACTTATTGGCTGATCAGTAGTTACTGATTCATAGTTACTCATAGTTCTCTCATTCTTTTGGATATTTGGTAGTTTTATTGGATAAAAGGCAAAATTAATTATATTGGATTAAAGTAAAAATTGGTTATATTGAATTAAAGGAAAAATTAGTTATATTTAGTAAAAGGTAAAAATAGTTGTATTGAATTAAAGAAAAAATTGGTTATATTTAATAAAAGGCAAAATTGGTTATATTAGAGAAAGTGAGCAAAACGGTTAAAGATATTTAGATTTTCATGAATCAAAAATAAAATTAAACAAAGTATAATATGGCCAATATAAAAGAGTATGTTATTTTAAGTGATAAAGATTTAAAAATTATTGAAAATAGAAATAAATTGTTAAATTACATGCATATGTACAAATTTGAAGATTTATTAAGAAAAGATTCCAATTCTTTTTTTAATATGCAAAGTGCTTTGTATGTACAAATGCTTGATTTTATTGTCCCAATTAGAGACGGTGATAAACATATTTAAATACTTTTTAGCGGTAATAACAATTATGGTCACTGAATTTATGTCTATTACTATAGAGTAAGGCTTTATATTTTTGATAGCCTTAATAAGGGATGTTTAAATGTGCAGCAAATAAAATATTTAATTAGATTGTTCCCTTTTAAACCAACAGTAGTTTTTGAAGCTGTTGATCAACAACCTTTTGGTAGAGTTGAGTGTGGAGTACATGCAATAGCATTTGCAACATCTATATTATTTAACGTAATGCCAAACCATGTAAATTATGAAACTGATAATAACAAAATGAGAAACCATTTTAAGTCAATGTTTGAAAATAATTGCTTAAATCATTTTCTGACAGTAAGAACGTCTCACAATAGGAATTCGATAATAGAGAATGATTAGAACCGTCTTTTCATAAATTGAACTCAGGAACATAAAAATTATATTTTAAACTATTGTTCTGTTTTTAATACTTTTCCCAGTAATAATATTAACAGAGTTCTATTAACACAAGAGTTAAAAATTAAACATTCTTTAAATGACACTAGTGAAAAGAAAATAATTCGTACAACTTATAATACTCTGAACAAAATTTTACCACATGAATATTTAACAATGAAAACTTTTCTGAGTAAAGAAAATGATAAAAAGATAAATTGAGCAATTAAAGAGAAGGGAAAAAAAGGAAGGCAAGGCGCGAAGTTACATATGAGCAGTAAATAATAAGACAGGAGAATGAGAGATTGAGAAAACGTAATCGTAATGAAACAGAAATAAAAAAGAAAGAGCGCAAAAAAAATTTGACATGCAAAAAAAAGAAATTATCTATAAAAACTGAAGATGGAAAGAAAATACGCAAGGATAAAAATTTGGCATGTAGGAAAAGAAAAATATCAATGGAAACTCAAGATGAAAAGAAAGTGCGTCAAGAAAATAATTTGTCATGTAAGAAGAAAAAATTTTCTACGACAACGGAAGATGAAAAGAATGTGTGAAGAAAAGAATTTGACATATAAAAACGATAATCGGAATAAAAAAGTGCAGGAGTTGCAATAATGTCTTTTGAAGATTTAGATTAAAGTAAAGTACCACAGAATTATTTAGGTTTAATAAATGTAGAATGTAAGTTTTGTAACGCATTACATTTTTTGTGTGAAAGACCGTAATATAGATACATCACGGAGGAATGTCCCCGTGAAAAGGACATTATGATATCGCCTGAATGTCACAAAAATATTCCCGGTTGATATCAGCTTGACATTCAAGGAATATTCCGTGCCACTTGGGTGGTAGATCCAATATAAAGAAATTTTTTTTTACATTTCTAATATTAAATTTTTTTGAAAAAAAATGAATAAAAAATATGGTTAATGCACACTAGCAACGTAGTCGGCCGCTTGCGGACGACAAAGTTGCTAGTTTTTAATAATCGTTAACAATCGATTGAAACTAATTTAAATTAAACAAATTAAAATAAGTTCAAAGTATAACAGCAATAGAAGTTTATTTTTTTATGTCTGTAACGGCCTTCCACACCACCCTTGAGGTTCCGCAAGAAGTGCGTTGGATTTTTTTTGTTAATAACTTTTAAAAATACGTCCATCACATTGCATCCGTCATTTTGAAAAACTAATATCGGATACGTAATCAGCGACCCCGAAAACCCCCGAGTAACCATTTTCATGAGAATCCAAACAATTTTGATTTTTCATCCGCCATATTGGATCCGCCATTTTGATTTTTGAGAAACTAATACCAAATTCGTAATCAGCGACCCCGAAAACCCCCCAGTGACCATTTTCAAGCGAATCCGAACAATTTTTATTTATCGTCCGCCATATTGGATCCGCCATTTTGAATTTTGAAAAACTAATATCGGATTCGTAATCAGCGACCCCGAAAACCCCCGAGTGACAATTTTCAAGCGAATCCGAACAATTTTTATTTTTTCGTCCGCCATATTGAATCCGCCATTTTGAATTTTCAAAAACTAACACCAGATTCGTAATCAGCGACCCCAAAAACTATAGGAACCACTTTAGTTTCGTTTTTTTATATGCTCAGTTTTGCCTGGGCACGAAGGGGTTAAGTGCGGAGAAGCCGACCACAGGTTTGCTGATTGCAGGAGGACTGCCTGCTGCTTTCTCTGTAAGGAGCAGCAGAACGGAGGAAAGGCGGACCACATTGCTGGATCCGGGCAGTGCGGAGTCTTCAGGTCGGCACTCGAGGAAGCCAAGAAGACTCTCGCAAGGACAAAAAGGAAGTAGGCTACGAGAAGAACGGCACGGAAGGGTCGCGCAAGCGACGGAGACGGGACCTTGCCTATGAAGACTAAAGCCGGAAGGTAGTTCCGTAGGCAAGATAAGGTCCAGAAAAACCAGGGAAAAAAATTTTTTAGTGTGGTAGGGGCGGCTGTAATAGTAGACCGTCACAGTCCCATAGTACCCAAGCTGGGTCTCCATAAAGAATTTTTTTTTACTTTCCCTGTCGTAAATTTTAAAAAAAGATAATAATTATATTAATTATTATAATTAAAATATTGATAAAAATTTATAAAATTTCCCGTTTTATGGTTCACTTAATAATAATATTAATTGTTAGTAAATAAAAAAAATTATTTAAATTATTAAATATTATCAGAATATGAATGAAATAATTCAATTTAACTATTATTTCAATAAAAAATTAATTTTTTCGCACGTAAGCCCCCTTTTCACTGACCAGATTACGTATAATCATCTTTTACTATTTTTCATTTCTTAACTCCCAAAGAATACGGCACTGAAATTTGCTTAAATCATGTTATGCCATCCATTATTGCGGAGGAGATTCAAACTAAATCGACCCGTCATTTTGAAGGATCCGTCATTGTAAAACGTCATTGTGGAGAATTGACTGTAGTGGATTTCAATGTTCAGATATGAGGAATTCTTTCTCAACACGGACACCCCATGCTCGTCCAAACTCTTTTCCATTTAAATTCATGTTTAATGGCTTAAATTTTAGTTCAAGAAATATACTTTTGAAATCTGAATGGCATATTTCGAAATAAAAAGGGCTACAAAGACCTCAAACATTACTTTTTGATTGTTCAAAGTGAATTACAGTAACTTTTTATTGGTAAATTTAAGTAATAAAACTTCATATTGGATCCTACATTTTGTTTTTGGAAATATGACACTTAGATTTCAAAAGTATATTCCTTGAACTAAAATTTAAGCCATTAAACATGAATTTAAAATGAAAAGAATTTGGACGAGCATGGGGTGTCCGTGTTGAGAAAGAACGCGTAAAGTATGCATGTCACTAGACATATTTTCGTAAAGGATTAAAGCTAGAAAAAATAAAATATTGTGTTAATGTGATTTATAGAAATAAAAGTTAAATTACGATAACAGAAAAGACATTAAACTTTATTAGTTAAAATAAAATATTTACATTCTTATTTAATTAAAAGTCTTATAAATGAAGCACAGAATATCAAAATTTGCAAAATTTTCTATTGTTGTAACAAGAAACATTTTTTCTTCAGTTTTTTATGTAATATATTTCTATATATAGTTATCTAAAGAATTTAAAACCTTTAATTACTTTTCTAGCTTGATACCACTGATATCTTGTTGATTCGCAGCTATTTGATTTGTCAAAGAGATTTAAGTCCAAGAGAAATTCCTTTCTCGAATCATGAAAAACTTTAATTGCACTTGAACAACGACAATTTATCTGAAAATCTTTGCTGTGATCAAGTCGAATATGAAACGAAGATGATTGTAGAGGAAAAGAATACTGTGGTTTTGGAATGAAAAATGTTGATAACTGATTTGCATCACTTTTTCGCACCAACACGAATGTGTTCGTAGGTCCAATTGGCAAATTCAAGGCTTCTTGAAATGCGTCACAGTCAACTATCGACCTAGAAGAAAGCAAATGTTTTAAAATCAAACACAAAAAATAAAAATTAATGTATATAATTTACAAATAAATTAGTTTTTTGATTTTTTGGAAGACGTAAGGTAAAAGAAAAAACAATCTTTCACATTAAATGCAATAATTTTACTATTAACAAGAAGGAAGATGTACAATTTCTAAGTAACAACTATTTTCCTTTGCTCAATAAATTGAAATAATGGTTATAATTTATAATATTTCGATTGCTGGTCATTGACCCTTTTGTCTGTATATAATGCGAAAATTGTCATCAAGTCAGTAAATTTGACTATTCACTTCTATTAATATGTTTGTGATTTGTAAATTTAAATATTTTATATTTTTGTTGTATTTTGTTTATTTATTTGATTTTATTTGTTGATGTGATGTTTATTTATTGATTTTAATTATGTAAAAAATTTATTTTTTAATTTTTTGTTTAATGTTATAATTTTGATTTTAAATTTGTGTTGTATTTATTTCAGTATAATTTTTTATTAAAGTAACCTGATGATGGTGGCGAACCAGATCACAGAAACGTTGTCTTAAATTTTTTAAAAAAAGTGAAAGATTGTTTTTTCTTTTACCTTACGTCTTCCAAAAAATCGCAAAACTAATTTATTAAATAATTGTGGAACAATAAACTAAATATTATATAATTTACAAATATTTGTAGAATAAATAAGGATATATTTGACGCTCCGCGTCAAAAGGGACCTTCACTTAAAAGTAGCTAAGGTCTCTTTTCTCGTGGAGCGTCACATATAACAAAAAAATTAATTATATTTGAAAGTAATGCATTTTTTATCTCAATATTATAATGGATAAAAGAAATAATTTTAAAGTTATCACAACATTAAATATGTTTTTGTCAAATTAATTCTTTAGGTGAAATAAACTATATAGTTAGTAAAATTCACATTTAGGTTATATTCATTCACTAAAAAAAAGTGAATTTATTTGAATTGTTAATAATTCATTTTGTTCATTATGGAGTAAGTAGTGCATTTTTAATTTATTACTTCCTCAAGAAAGAAGTACTGCAAAGCCTAAATTTCTAAATTCAATTTTCGCACATATCTTACATTTTTTGAAATCAAAAAACAAAAACCCAATAGGGTAAGCAATTTCTTTTCAATTTTAAAAAAAGAACAAATATACACAGTGTATTCTCGATAATACTCTAAAGTACCAAATTTACACCGACATAAAAACAGAAAGATTAAAATTAATTATTAGGAGATCGTAAAAAGAAATTGTGTATAATCCTAAATAATGTTTCAGTTTAGTTCGTAAAATACCAAATAATCATATAATTTTTGTCAATTTGGTTAATAATAACAAACTGTCCCCATTTACCCCAGGAATTTGAAAACTCGGGGTAAATGAGGACAGCTATAGTATACATAAGTATACATAAGTTAAGCACTTCAGGTGCAACCAAATGTAGTTAATTATGAGAACGAGATCCCTCTATTATTTCGGTTTCTTATCAATATAATTTTATTAATTGTCATTAGCAAGCACCATAAGCAAGTGATAGTAAATCTTAGTTTTAGTATAATACTTATTTTCGAATACATAACGTCTTCAAAGCAATAGTTAAAACACTACTTTTATGTATCGAAAACTTTAAACGCGTTTTTCTCGAAACGTATATTTTTTCGCGCGCCGTGCAATGTATCTCAGCCAATTGTTAACTAATTTTAATCAAACTTACCAAAAATCTTCTTTATCTTACTGGCTATTGCATGACGAGCTCCGTTTTTTAAAAAAATTTTAACAATTGTTTTTGAACATTGTTTATAAAAAAAGTGATTTTTTTCAAAATGGTCCCAAATTTTCAAAAAAAATTTTTTTTAGTTTTCTCTTTGTCATGCAAAGCATATTTGCGTATTATAACGGTAAAAATTTTGATTTTTAATTTTAGTTAATATTTGTGACCTGTAGGCTGCACGGCTCAAAATATAAGATACAACTTCAAACGCCTGTAACGCCGCCATTTCTTAATATTTTTTAAGAAAAAAATTTTTTTATAAAGCTTATATTGTGCTTTTTCAAGAAAATACCCCCTTACACGACAGGATACATTATATACATGTATATATGCTTTTATATACATATATGTGTACTTTGATATATATATATATATATATATATATATATATTTATATAGGTATATATATTCATAAAATCATACATTGTACTCGCGAAGAGTACGCTCTATGCCCCGTGACTTTTACATTGTACCCCGTTTTTCGATATGTTACCGAAGTTTCCAACCAAAATAATAGTTTCCATAGCATTTCTACATATATCTACTATAAGAATATGCAGTTTTTAGAAAATGATTTTCTTGAAAAAAGATGTGGCACTAACCCCTTAAGCGTCATGAAATAATATTGTCTTTAAGTCCGAGAACGCCACACAGCCCCCCCGCTGTAACTGACTTACTTGAGGTCCGAGCTCGGGCCAGGCCTGTAGAGTGAGAGTATACCACTTCCCTTTACAGGACGCTATTCGTGATCACCCGTTTTATCCACACAGCCTTGTGTTGAGGGAGATTTGTTTTCTATTATTGTATACGTGACATAGGTGATGACCATTAAATTCCCGTGAGTGGAAGTGGTAAACCCATACTTTACTTACCAATGGCTATGCCCGATAACGCTACTTCCTCAATATCTGCTTAACGCGAGGTCCTAAAATAGGCCCGGGCCTGTAGATTATAACACTTCTCCTTACAGGAGTGGAACGGCTACTACAGAAAACTTGTAATAGTCCCAGGATACACATACATAAAAAAATACTTCTATCCGTTTAGTTTTTTATATTGGATAACATTGGCATTAAAGATATTTGGATTTTGAGAATAAAATATGAGAGTGGATAAAATTGATTTTAAATATATATTTTGATAATGGAAAAAAATATTGATTGTTTGATTGTTTTCTGGGTTAAATAATAATTTGTGAGTTGAATATTGTTTTGAATTTTTTTGATAGTGGATAAGATTGGCATTAAAGATATTTGGATTTTGAAGATAAAATTGGTATTGAATATATTTTGATAAAGGAGAAAAATATAATATGTTTGATATTAGTGGAAGCTGGCTTTTTGAAAATTAATTAAACAGAAAGCAGGTTGAATATTGTTTTACGGGTAAAATAATAGTTTGTGAACAAAATATTGATTTGAATATCAATTGTTAATTTAAGAGACAAAAAGATTTAAAGACATTAGAAAACTTGATTTAATGAACCAAAAATTAAGAGGGCAGAGGAAAATAAGTTGAATGATAATCATTATCGAAATTGATGTAATGTGAAAAAAGGTTAAGCAACACTAAGTCACCTATATAAATGATTATCCTTATTGCATTCGTTGGCTGATTTATAGTTAATGAAATATTTTATAGGTGAAACACACGTAAATGGTTGATTTTCTCAAAATGGAGAAATCACGCGTGCTCTATTTTAGATGGTGTTTTTGTTAAATAAAAATGAAAATAATTTTAATTAATAAAAATTCTGCCAGCCATACGATAAAATTTAACAAATTTTCAAACGGATAACTAATGAAAATTTCAAAAATAGGTCAAATATCAGAATTATTGAATGAAAAGTAGTATTAAAACTTCCCTTCGTAACATCCGAGTTTATTCAGTATTTCAGTTATTTGGCCTTTGTAGGATTCCGTTCACACAGTGAATCGAAACGGAACCCTTATGGTTTCACTTATGCCCGTCCACAAAATCATGCCCCCCCTCTAAAACCTAGTCATTTCAACCGTTTGTGCTCAAACTTGGTATACATACGTATTTTTGCGGGTAGATTAAGGGGTTACATCCACTTAGAATTTGGAAAAAATCGATTTTTTTTTATTGCATTTTCGTAAAGTATATTTATTTAAGAGTACCTACATTATATGGACCCGGAATAGACGATTCGATGTAAGTTGAAAAAAAAAATTTTTATTATGAGTAAAGTGGTTTTGAAACTTTAAATGCGTTTTTCTCTAAACTATGTTTTTAAAGTCGGTGAGCAAGATTTCTCGAAAACGGCTGAACCGATCGGTCTCAGATTTTAACACAAGCTTCTTAATAATATTGTTTAGTGATTAATCGAAGGTTTTTTTTACAATAAATATTTTTCATTTTATAAACAATTGAAGTCGTGAATTTTTGTCAAAAATTAATACTTCCGCTTTCTGAAGGCGCCATTTTGTCAAAAATCATTTTTTTGTCTATTCCTTCGATTAATCACAAGATAATGTATTATTTTAACGAAAAAATTTTGGATTTTTAATTTTAGATGATCCAGTTGAGAAATAACGTGCTCACCGCTAGCTGTCTCGATTCGAAGGAGCTCCAGAAAATATTTTATACAAGGTGTAAAAAAATAATTTTTATAAATAAACTATGCAAAAATAAAGTTAAAAGTACTCTTTATATGTGCATTAATTTGTGAATTGAAATAGTCCATAGTTTTCCCAGAAAAAATTCCTAAAATATCGACTTTTTTCGGCTGTCCCCTACTGAAAATCCCTGTATAAGATCTTGTACAACTTCCTGTACAGGATCAGCAACTGAACTTGTACAAGTTCTGACCAGTTCCTGTACAGGAAAATGCATACGAATTTGGAACAAGTTCATGTGTGAGATCTTGTACAAGATCTGGTGCAAGTGTACAAGAAAGATACTTGTACAAGAAAATGTACATGATCTTGTACAATTTTATGTATAAGTACTTGTACATGAACACGTTCATGTTCTTGCACATGAAATAGTTGTAAAATTTTTTTTTTTTAATAAAATTTGAGATTTTGATAATTTTTAACCACTAAGATTCGTAACTCATGCATGCTAAAAACTATTGCGCAGCTGTAAAGATTAAAGTAAACTATTGCGCAGCCTTTGAAGTTTTTAATTTTTAGTAAAGAAAAACATGAATTAACATGTGCAAGAACATGGACGTGTTCATGTAC